ATCATGAAAACCACTGAATGTGTGGAATTAAGAGATACATCGCTGATTTTGATTATGTATGCGGAGGATACTGTCTTTTTTTTCTGAATCCTTCAATTAGCTGGGTGTTACATTGTTTTATAATGGAAAGTTTACCCAAACTCAGAATATTATTAGTCAGCAAGGTCGAAAATGTGTATAACGCATAATGAATATTTGTAATAACATTTTTTTTTACATTGAAACTAAAATATACGTATTCGATATTTATGTTTCAAGTGTATTAAACTACGGCTGGGAAGTGTGGGGATTCCATGGGATGCTGCCACTGACGTAGAGAAAGTGCACATAGATTTTTGTTAGAAGGTGTACTCCAAACAATATGTTGTACTCTGAACTTGGTAGATTAACACTTTGTATAATACGGAAAATGAGAATAATTAAGTATTGGTTGAAATTACTTGAAACAGAGAACTGTATTTTGAAAGCCTTGTATAATGATATATTGTCTGAAGTAAATACAAAGGCTAACTGGCTTAGTAATGTTAAATCAATGTTAATGTCTATAGGTTTTGGATATGTTTGGTATGATCAGAAAGTTGTATGTAAGAATCAACTTATACTTAAGCATTGAACTGTTTTTGTATGATATTTATGATCTATTTGAATGACACACAAAGTGAGTGATATTGCGGCGGAACACAGGGGTTCGTTATAAATGTCTAAAATGTGTATGTGTATCATTATGTGTCAGTATGTCTATAGAATATGTGTATTTCAGACATTTGTAACGAACCCCTGTTGATCAGTGCAGTGTAACAGACGATATTTCTGATAAATTGCATGAGTGTTAATGTTGTTTCCATTGTCGGCGTTGGTGATTTCAACCGATGTGCATTTTGTACTATATTGCAGAGCTTGGTCTTGTTTTTGTTGTAATAAAAGTATTTTTTTATTTTTTTTTATTTTGCACATAAATTTACAATGACATGTCTTACAATGCCCATCGATATTTCAGCAGCCGTCATGTTTATTTACATTGGATATTGTAGTTCCGGTCAGTGGTGTATAAATACGCTAAGAATTGTGTCTCGTGCTGCATGGTTATTAAAGTCCCATCAACGACACAGCTTTCAAAGAGGCTATATAGTGACAATGCCACGCAAATGTAATTAATGGACGTTAAACTACGTCTACGTGATGTTTTCATACAAAATATGAACATTTTTTTTGAAAACTCTACGAAATGTTTTTTATATAGATATCTGCCCGAGGTTAATTGTCGTCAGTATTATCTTTGTAAATCTTGTATTTTAACCATTACGAAATTAAGATTATCTTCACACGACCTTCGTATAGAAAGGGGCAGATATGAGAGAATACCTCGAAATGAAAGACTATGTTTAAAGTGTAATTTAGGCAATATAGAAGACGAATTGCATTTTATTCATGTTTGTCCGTTTTACAACGAAGTAAGAACACAACACATTGATAGATATTACAGAATTAGACCGTCTATGTTTAAATTAATTAGCTTACTTTCTGTTAGAAATAAGAAGAAATTGAAAAAAAATCTTTTTCAAATTTTTTATTGCTGCTTCACAACTGAGATCAAATGAATAATTACATGTATATTGTCCATCCTCCATAATATATCTGTTTTGCTGTGTATCACTCACTCAATTTTATAAAATGTGTTGTAATGTTTATGCTGATTAGCCGAAAGGCTAAAGGCCAATAAACGTATGAACTTACTTATGAACAGTGAACAACGAGACCATGTTCTATTATCCCCGATGACCATAGGTAAACCAAATCAGCTGACACTCAAATAGAGTTCAAGGGAAACGTTTGTGTTTCAAAACAGTTTTATTCAAAATCCACTTAAACTGAATACTGACATGTATCAAACAAAATTCAATAGTACAAATGACAGGACCCCTGATGTTTTAACCATCAGGGTTTATAAGTAAAAGGATGCAATTAGCTTTGTTATAAAGTTGTCTATATTAAAGTTTCTAAAATGTTAAACGATACAAGACTTTAGAACGATACTAAGTACGAAGTGTACGTAGGGTGTTCGCGTGGCACATTGAATAGCGCACTTGCCTTTCATTAAGTCGACCGGGGTTCGATTCCCTGATTGGACGTGCAAAGGTATTAAGTCACCTGCCCGACCACGTGAATGTTTTCCTGGTACTCCAGTTTCCTCTCACACGAATCGCTAACATCCAGGCCAACACTCATGGCACACAAGAGTGATAAATACAAGTTGAATTAGCTTGTTTCCTAATTGTTGTAAAATAGATAAAGTTTATAAAGTTTTTATAAATCGGATTAAGCTGAATGTACCTATATGACTTGACGTGTCCGTCCCAGTTCTATTGCATCGACAAGGTCTTTAGTGCGAATCGGTATGAACAACGTACCGGGAAGTACATAATAACGCGATACTCTGTTAAAGGCGAGTAAGGGATTTCAAAAGTGTTCATTCCAATGGTACAGAATTGTGAAACTAACTCTTTTGGGGCTTTTCTATGTTGTAAAGAAGCGATACACGTCCATCTTATCAAGTTAATGACGAGTTATGGTTTCAAAAGTTTTTACTCAAATGGTTTTAACTTTGGAATTATTTTTTTATTCTCTCTAGTATTTATTCTTATTTTAATAACTGTTCACTGATATTGAACTTATATTTAATATCTAACAAGCGGTCATTTGCAAAACAGTGAGTGTCCTCCTTTTTTTAAATAGGTTCTCCCAAGATTGCCGGTCCGGCTGTAACTTTCGAACACGTGAACTTTGTACACTTCACTGAAAGGTAGCTATATAGATATCGATATTTTTGAGTTTCTGTGATTTGAAATCAGTTTTGTCAGTATAATGCTTTCGCATGGGTTTCCAAATAAATAATTAATACTAACTTGGAAGCGCATGTACAAATGTGGATTTAATATATTTTCAGTCAGCCCAAGGAAATATTTTCACGAATATTTGTTGTAAATCCTGGTTATGTATACGAAGTGAACAGCACTATACACTCGTTTCAATTTATATGATATTTATGGAAGAAGGTTTTTTTTAAATTTTAGCTCGCCATAAAAAATCTTTATTCATTAATCCCATACAATACAGAAAAAGCATACAAGCTCCTCTTTAGGTATTACGATACTCCACATCGATTTCGTAGACGGGAAAATTTTTGAAAGAAAATACCGTTTAAGTTCAACTAAATATATACATGATACAAGTCACAGTTAAATATTACCTGCGGAATTTGCATCCACAGACGTAATTCGACGGTGAAAGCCCTCAGGACCTGCCCGAAAATATCGTATTCTTTTGTCTTTGTTGTTTTGTAATTTTCTGTGTATGGCCTTTATAAGTTTGTGCGCTTGTTTGTGAAATATCAAAAGTCAGAAGTTCGAACATTTTCGAACTTCACTTTTATGTTATTTTATGCACGAACACGAGGAAAAGTTAAACTAGCTTTAACTTAAATGTACATCATACAATATATAGATATATTAGGGTTGCATTGATATTTCGTGTGACGATATATCGCGATATTTTGAATACGGTACGATGCACAATAGCGTTGGGGAGATCATGATATACCTACGATATTTTCCAGATTTTCTTGTTTTTTAATTTTGTCTTCTCATATACGTTCCCACATGACGATTGAAAGCTCCAAATCGGCATGCATGTCGAAAAATGTGAATTGTGTGAAACTTTCAACTCATGCTCATGTTGGACCAAATCTTTATCCTGTTGTCATATTGCCATTAAAAGTTTGCAAAATATTTTTTTGCTTTGCTTCTACTATTAGTATATGTATCGTGATACATATTGTATCGTGACCACATTATCGTGATACGTATTTCATCGTGACCACATTATCGTGATACGTATTGTATCGTGACCACAGTATCGTGGTACGTATTGTATCGTGACCACAGTATCGTGGTACGTATTGTATCGTGACCACAGTATCGTAGTACGTATTGTATCGTGACCACAGTATCGTGGTACTTATTGTATCGTGACCACAGTATCGTGATACGTATTGTATCGTGACCACATTATCGTGATACGTATTGTATCGTAACCACATTAGCGTGATACGTATTATATCGTAACCACAGTATGGTTGTACGTATTTTATCGTGACCACATTATCGTGGTACGTATTGTACCGTGACCACAGCATCGTGGTACGTATCGTATGTTAATGTATCGCTGTACATATTGTATCGTGACCACAGTATCGTTGTACGTATTGTATCGTGACCACAGTACCGTGATACGTATTGTATGTTAATGTATCGTTGCAGCCCAAACATCACGCCCGGTCGACGTGACACCAGCGTAATACGGTTTGTTCGTTTAACGGATTCAATAGAAAGAGAATGCTATTATTAAGTATTTCTAAATAAGGTAGTACCTTAACGCCTATAAAGACATAGAAAACGGTGAATGTTGTGTCAGGTTAAACTAATATTGAATCTAAACGATACTAGCGCGTTGACGCTGGGCAAATCGGTGAGAAAATAACAACAGTTTACAAACCAATAAATTAAAAGACACCTTGAATACGTAAACGTTTCTGTTGTGATCAACAATATTTCAAAAACACGATTTCTATTTAAACGGCACAAGAGTAACTTAGAATATCGTTCAATTTTATGTGTGGACACAACTTTTATATGTGCACAGGTGAAAGTAACAGTTGACCATTCTTTTGCAAATTACGTGTGGCTACCAACCTTGACCGGCAGGCTGTGTTAAAAGTCACAGTGTATTGTCATGGCTACCATTGTCGTGACCAATAGTCCAATAATAAAAGTCGTCTTATAGAAATCCGTCTTAGCAATGTGTTACGTAGTCTAACTATCCAGTACACAAAAACATTTTGAGATATATCTAAATAAAGATGTTTAGAGTCACGCTGGTCGCAGTGGCCGGTATAAAAGCTTGACCATCGTCCAAAACTGACCATCGGATCCTATTCTATCATCATGAAGGGTGTGTGTACATCTCTTCTCCTTTTCGGGCTGGTCATCGGGAGTCTGGCCGATAGTAAAAGTGTAAGTACACAAATGTATATCATATTTGACTTTCGGACACATGGTTTGAATAATTGTGCACAACGTGATATTCAGTTATCAAATGCCATCGATTTTAGTTGCAAAGCTGCGCAGCCAATGCTGTTTTAAAACTTTTTTTCGGAAATGTATGAGAAAAAACATGTCCCTTTTAAATAAAATGTTTTGAATTGAAGAAAGGAAAATGCGCTGGACACGTTTTTATCGGGTATATTTCATTCAGTGCAGTATCTAATTAATTATTTAATTTATTTTAATAAACCCAGTCAAATATTTTCATTGCTTTTAGCTTACAGGGATTTTTTTTTTAATTTTGTGACATGTACGTTTTACTTTTTGATATCAATAGTTATTAAAATATTCATGATTTGAATTTTGTCTTCATGACGTCTGCAATCTAACCATTCCGTGTACACAAGTTATTTCATGTGTAACTAGTCATGTACTACAATGTATTATGTAATACTTATGTTCACACATACTTTCATAATAACGGGAGTCGAAATTTGGAGTATAAGATTTTCTTTTTCAAAATTTGAAAAAAAAATCAGCCTCCATTTTTCACAAATATCGATATAGCTGCCTAAAATTTATCATCGATGAACAAACACTGTTCAAGTTTACGATAGACTTTTTAATGTGTTAAATGTCTTTTACTATGTTCATAATTGTATTCAATTGATTATACAAAAATATGTTATATTCCGAGATCTTATTTCAATGAAAAACTGACACTAAAATGAAAACGCATGACGTCAGTTAGCATTTTAATTGTTAAACGGTCCAGCAATGCCGAAGTCATAGCGGGCCTGGTAGTTCATAATTAGGGGCAACTCTAATCCAATCGGGAACCATCGGCATTTTCCGTGAACGAGCGGAAATGCCGACGGTTCCCGATGGTTACAAAATTTGATACACTAATAAAGGGACTTGAATGGTAAAAACTTATTTTTTTTATACATTAGTACACTGCAAAAAGGTCAGATTTTATTATAACAAGTGTTTTCCAAATTTTAAATTTGATGGTATAGGCCAATTTCACACAGATATTCGAAACTCTTTGTCAAATTAATTGTATGCAACACTATACAGGAACGTCGAATGCTTTGTCTCGAATTTGGCTATAATTGGCATATTCTATCAACAGTCATATGTTCGTTGCACGAATGGCATAAGGGCTGATCCTCTCGCTGAATTAAGTACACATGCGTAAAAGGACAACCCCCTTCCTACGGTCTTCTCTGATAGGGGTTGAAATGCAATAGAAATATTGCTAATATTATCCGACAGTCTTCACTGCCAGTTACGTTTGATTCAACTGGTAACATCAGGTTTAGAATCAGGATAAAATATTGTTTATTTGCAGGTTAAGTGCTGTTTTTTGCAGCTTTGTCGACCAAATCGCTTCTTCGATTTCCAACATGATTTGGAAACCATAGAAGCCATATATATTAAAGTATTCTGCAACGAGGTGCAGTGAAGATTAAGCTGCCCCATGTGACTGTTATTCAAAGCGTGTCGTCAGAAACTCATATATTTCAGGAATAAGCAGTATTATTTTAGGGGTTAACGGCATATACCGGAAGAACTGTGTGCTCTATTGAGACCGAAACAAACCTGCACGTTTGTGACCTCAAAAAACGGTTTGCACAAAAACAAATGTGTACTGCACACAGTGTGCAAAGTGCACACAGTTTTCGGTATGTACCGTATAACGCTAAAAAAACAAAAACATGATCTTTCCTCATGATTTAATCCGAAAGAAAGACTAAACATTGATCTAAAGATTTTTTATTAGTTTCTGATAAAAGCAAAATAACTTTGCGCCGTAATTTCATCGCTGAGCAACGCAAACTATTCAGAAATTAGAATTACAAATACAGTCGGAAACATTGCGGTTTTATGACGTCAGCAATGTCAGAATAGCATAAATTAAAGTATTCAACGGTTACCTGCAAGCTATATTAAATTAGTTTAACCCTTCTTAAAGCCCAAGAATCTTTCGGTGATAGAATTAGTAGCGCTAAAATGTGACTTTCAAATTCATGTTCGGATTGTAAATAACACAAGAAGGAGGATTGTAGTTATGATAGCTATTATCATGTTTAAGCTCCTATACCATCAGGCACTACAGTACCGGAAAATGTCGATTCCGCCATGGAACATTTCTACTTTTGACGAGGAACGAACAGCTTTTAAATTACAATGGACAGCATACCTTAGGTACATGTCTACCTACATGTTAGAGTAGCCGTCCACAACAATTTAAAGGTGTTCCTCATTTGATAAACCTGCTAGGAGTTAAAAAAGCATTTTTGGTTACCCTCTAGTGGGTAATAGTCTCGACGTGATTTCGTTAGTCAGTATTCTAATTATGACGTGTAAGTATCATTGCTTTGTGACGTCATCTTCCATGGTGTAAACCTCGTGTCTTTATACAATTTGAATATTAACTAACTCGAGAGAGAGATAAATGTGATAATCAAACAATGCTCTTTGGGAAACCTCTATTTCTATAATAATTGGTTTTCATTATATCGCAGCAACGATAGACGTCTTTTTTTTCTATTCCAGCAACTGAAACACGCTTTGGAACTAGTTGCAGATAAAGCTAGATTAGAAAAAGGTAATATTCAATTTTTGTGTCTTCCGGTTATTAAACATGTTTTAAGGATACCCGTACCACTGCCAAAAACTGTAACTATTAATTAGCAAGCTAGTGTTAACCTGTCATTCTCTCATCACGTTAAATATCAAGCTGTTTAGTTGTCATTCTCTCATCAAGTTAAACAACAAGCTAGTGTTAAGCTGTCATTCTCTCACCACGTTAAATATCAAGCTAGTGTTAAGTTGCCATTCTCTCATCAAGTTAAATATCAAGCTGTTTAGTTGTCATTCTCTCATCAAGTTAAACAAAAAGCTAGTGTTTAGTTCTCATTCTCTCATGAAGTTAAAAAACAAGCTAGTGTTAAGTTGTCATTCTCTCATCACGTTAAACAACAAGCTAGTGTTTAGTTGTCATTCTCTCATCAAGTTAAACAGTAGGCTAGTGTTAAGTTGTCATTTCCTCATCAAGTTAAATATCAAGCTGTTTAGTTGTCATTATCTCATCAAGTTAAACAACAAGCTAGTGTTAAGTTGTCATACTCTCATCAAGTTAAACAACAAGCTAGTGTTTAGCTTTCATTCTCTCATGAAGTTAAACAACAAGCTAGTGTTTAGTTGTCATTCTCTTATCAAGTGAAACAACAAGCTAGTGTTTAGTTGTCATTCTCTGATCAAGTTAAACAACTAGCTAGTGTTAAGTTGTCTTTCTCTCATCGCGTTAAACAACAAGCTAGTGTTTATTTGTCATTCTCTCATCACGTTAAACAGCAAGCTAGTGTTTAGTTGTCATACTCTTATCAAGTTAAATAGCAAGCTAATGGTGAGTTGTCATACTCTCATCAAGTTAAATTGCAAGCTAGTGGTGAGTTGTCATTCCTTCAACAAGTTAAATTGCAAGCGAGTGGTGAGTTGTTTTACTCTCATTAAGTAAAATAGCAAGCTAGTGGTCAGTTGTCATACTCTCATCACGTTAAACAACAAGCTAGTGGTGAGTTGTCATACTCTCATCACGTTAAACAACAAGCTAGTGTTAAGTTGCCATTCTCTCATCAAGTTAAATATCAAGCTGTTTAGTTGTCATTCTCTCATCAAGTTAAACAAAAAGCTAGTGTTTAGTTTTCATTCTCTCATGAAGTTAAAAAACAAGCTAGTGTTTAGTTGTTATTCTCTGATCAAGTTAAACAACTAGCTAGTGTTAAGTTGTCATACTCTCATCAAGTTAAACAACAAGCTAGTGTTTAGTTGTCATTCTCTGATCAAGTTAAACAACTAGCTAGTGTTTAGTTGTCATTCTCTGATCAAGTTAAACAACTAGCTAGTGTTAAGTTGTCTTTCTCTCATCGCGTTAAACAACAAGCTAGTGTTTATTTGTCATTCTCTCATCACGTTAAACAACAAGCTAGTGTTAAGTTGTCATTCTCTCATCACGTTAAACAACAAGCTAGTGTTTAGTTGTCATTCTCTGATCAGGTTAAACAGCAAGCTAGTGTTTAGTTGTCATACTCTCATCAAGTTAAATAGCAAGCTAATGGTGAGTTGTCATACTCTCATCAAGTTAAATTGCAAGCTAGTGGTGATTTGTCATTCCTTCAACAAGTTAAATTGCAAGCGAGTGGTGAGTTGTTTTACTCTCATTAAGTAAAATAGCAAGCTAGTGGTGAGTTGTCATACTCTCATCAAGTTAAATAGCATGTTAGTGGTCAGTTGTCATACTCTCATCAAGTTAAATTGCAAGCTAGTGGTGAGTTGTTTTACTCTCATCGAGTTAAATAGCAAGCTAGTGGTGAGTTGTCATACTCTCAACAAGTTAAATTGCAAGCGAGTGGTGAGTTGTTATACTCTCATTAAGTAAAATAGCAAGCTAGTGGTGAGTTGTCATTCCTTCAACAAGTTAAATTGCAAGCGAGTGGTGAGTTGTTTTACTCTCATTAAGTAAAATAGCAAGCTAGTGGTGAGTTGTCATACTCTCATCAAGTTAAATAGCATGCTAGTGGTGAGTTGTTTTACTCTCATCAAGTTAAATAGCATGCTAGTGGTGAGTTGTCATACACTCATCAAGTTAAATTGCAAACAAATGTTAAGTTGTCTTGGTCATTCCTTGATATCCCGTTATACATAAATAGTAAACTAGCTTACAGGGTGCCCGTATTTTCACTGATTACCCTAGAATATATGTATACCCGATACCGTTTTCATATACTCTCCACATTGCAGAGCTGCAAGGTGTAACAGTGCAGGAAATCCGTGACAAAACTGAGCGACTGAATGATGACTTTACCGATGCTTTGGGTCTGGCCAAACAAATTGCGGAACTTAACGGTAAGTGTTAGTGTATATATTCTTAAACATTCTTTTAGCATAGTATAAGGTCTTACATATATAAGTAATGTTTCTAAAATGCATATTGTTCATTTTTTAATTTATATATACATCATAATTATACTTGCAACACTGCAACATTGACAGATTTCAAACAGATCATGATTCTGAAACAAAAGATCATGCTGCTTCTTAAGGTCATAGGAGTGTATTGATAAACGGAAATAGGAAGTGCATCCCTAGTTGAAAATCCAATGTAGGGAGACAGTATCACAATTTCCGCATATTCTGATGTTTGATATTAAACTGATAAATATTGCATGTTTATTATTGACAGAACAGTGTGTTCTCTCAATATTAAAGTATTTCAAAGCAATCCAGGCATTATTTTTTTTTATTTTTTTTTTATCAATGAGTCACATGTGTCCATTTTTATGTACTTCAGGAACCCGGCTACCTATTTCACTACTGTGAAGTTTTTCAAGAAAGATAACTCTTTACATGCAATTACTATATGTACATGGTTTTATTATAAAATGTCAATTTTTAAACGTTTATAGATAACTAATTTTACACAATTTCAGCACTTATTAAATTGATATACATTAATTCAATACTAATCTATGTCAGTATCATTTTTATTGACATTATTTTGCCTAAAATTGTGTCTTTCATTTTTTTTTCAAAACTCACTCCTTTTTACATAAATTTTCATTTCAAATCCTTTAAATTATGACAACCTATATTTTTTTGTGGCAGAACATTTTCTTTACTTCAACGCTATATAACTACAAAATTGGAAGAAATTCTACTGAGAAATGGTGCCACAATCCTATTACCTTAAGTCAATAACTAACACGTATAACGATAAAGTTTGTTAAAGGAAAATTTAAAGGTTTACGTATTTTTTTTTACAGGTATCCTGGATGAATTGATGAATCTCAAACCAGAGTTTGAATCATTATCAGCACAAATCGAATCAATATTTTTTGATGTCGAGATGGATGTTAACAAACTGCCAGGTAAGATGCATACCATGTTAATGTTAGACATGTACACTCAAGTACATCCTGATGTCGCAATATCTACATTTCCGCTGCAAATCCGTAAACGAACACTTCTAGATGAAATTGAGTTCAAAATACTATGAACGCAATTGAAAAAGCATCAATTTGACGCGTTTCTCCCGTCTCAAATAGCATGTGACCTTCGTATGAATCAACCATTTAGGCGACTCAATGCGGTTCCAGGAATATGATAATGATAATAATAATAATTCGAGGTTCTTATATACCGTTTTATCACAACCTTGTTCGTAGGTCGTCTCAAAGCGGTTCACAAATTATTATCCGTGGTTACTTTCTCAACTCTCTGGGGAGCATACAGCCGGAGCTGCCATTTCGGCGCTAACAGCTAGCATTCAACAATTTTAGCACGTCTTAACCACGTACTCATTAACAGCTGAGTAGACTGGAATAAGTGGAGTAAAGTGTCTTGCTCAAAGATACAACACAGCGCCGTGCCGTGACTCGAACCCGCAACCCTTCGGTCACGATCCTGGCGTCCTACCACTAGACTACCGTGCCTCCTTATCGATTGCATTTACTCTACAATAAGTGAGTTGCAATGTATCCCGATTTCTATATTGACACATCAATAACTGTCGACACATTCATAAGTACGCTAATACTTAATGGTTTTATAAACTTCAAGTTGCATTGTGACGTCGTCAAAAAACATCATTGTTCTTGATATACATATCTTCTCTAACACTCTTAGAATATGACATGATAACAAAAAAGAAATTGTACACGCCATCATGAAGATGATACAAGTAGACTTGTCTGATCCTTTAATGTACACTAAAAGAATCTCGAGGACGCGTAACGGTAAAATGGAACGGCCTTGCAGTCTGGTGTCGCTCCTTTTTGCAATCTTTAATGAACAGGAATCAGCCTAACAATAGGTATGTTTTCATCATATCTGCTACCTATCAAATCGCTTACCGCGAGCAAGGGTGGAAAGAATTCTAAATATCGATAGCGGAGAATCCGGGACTCTGAAGATGCATAAAAGAGCGTTTGGAGTCAAAACGTATTTTTAGATTTCAAACCAGCATGAAGGTTTGAAATATAATGGTTATATGATGAAATCAACAATCCGTTTTCATGACACATAAGATATTGAAAGTCGTCACGATGTTTAGTCGTAGTTCGTAAGAAGCATGTTAAAATATCCTGAAAAAATAACTTTATATGAAATTGAAATTCGTGTACCTGTGATATCACTAAAACTTAAATATACGTTTTCCAAGGCCACGCAAACTAAAAAAATGTTTTTAAAAAACATAAAATATAAGTTAAGTGCTCTCAGGATATTTTCTGACGATCGTTCTACAGATTGGTTTTCAATCTGAATATTAATGGTAATATTTCAACTTGAACATCTGTTGAAACAGTTTATTTAAACAGTTAGACCTATCTCAGCATTGTATTTATCAAATTGTTCAAGGCCGTTTGCATAATCATGTTCATTCATGCAAAGGTAAATAGAGGCAACAAGGAATCGATGTGCAAAGTGCATTTTAATTTAGAATAATAGGTATAAGGGAAAAGAACAACGATCAGATTATCACGTCATTAATTTATTAACGTTTTTATATTTTAGATATCGCCGACGACATAGATGACTGGAAATCCTTGATCAGTGTGTAGAAGGTTTGTTCATTCACTTAATCTTATGTGTCGTTATGTCGTGCGATTTCTACAACATATGTATCAGTATATTATCAGTACATAACCAGTATATTATTAGTAAATAACCAGTATATTATCAGTACATAACCAGTGTATTACAGTATCAGTACATAACCTGTATAGTATCAGTACATAATAGGTATATTATCAGTACATAACCAGTATATTATCAGTACATAACCAGTATATTAACCGTACATAACCAGTATATTATCAGTACATAATCAGTTTATTACAGTATCAGAACATAACCAGTATATTATCAGTATATAACCAGTATATTATCAGTACATAACCCGTATATTATCAGTATTTAACCAGTATATTATCAGTACACAACCAGTATATTATCAGTACATAACCAGTATATTACAGTTTAAGTACATAACCAGTTTATTACAGTATCAGTACATAACCAGTATATTATCAGAACATAACCAGTATATTATCAGTACATTACCGGTATATTACCAGTATATAATCAGTACATTACCAGTATATCATCAGTACAGTACCAGTATAATATCAGTACTTAACCAGTATATCATCAGTATATTATCATTATCAGTATATTTTCAGTACATTACCAGTTTCTTGTCAGTACATAACCAGTATATTACAGTATCAGTACATTACCAGTTTATTACAATATAAGTACATAAGCAGTATATAATCAGTACATTACCAGTATATTATCAGTACATTCTCAGTACATAACCAGTATATTATCAGTACCAGAATAATATCAGTATATAACCAGGATATTAGGAGCATATTATCAGTACCTTATGATAAGATATGATATGATAATATCAGAACATTACTGTCATCTTATTAATGCATTATCGGCACATTATCAGGACTACTTACATTTCGGTAAATTATCAGTATAACAAACTTGCAATATTGATGCATTATCAATACATTCTAGTACACAAGTATATTATAATTACGTGAAAGTGCGTTATCAGTATGTCATCAGTTCATTTTCAGTATATAATCTACCAATATAAGTACATAATCAGTACATCATCAGTATATAATCAGTACAATATCAAAACAGATAATCAGTATATTATCAAAACAGATAATCAGTACAATATCAATATAAAAGCAGTAGGTTATCAGTAGGTTATCAGTATATAACAGTATATTATCAGTACATTAATAGTACATTATCAGTACAGTACCAGCATATTGTCAGTATATTATCAGTATGTTAACATTATATAATCAGTACATAACCAGTATATCATCAGTTCATTATCAGTTTATCATCAGTACAAAACCTGTAACTTATCAGTATATCACCTGTATATTATCAGTACAGTACCAGCATAATATTAGTACATTAACAGTATATTATCAGTACATTACCAGTATTGTACCAGTATATTATCAGTACATTACTGGCATCTCATCAATAGATTATCAGCACATTATCAGGACTACTTACATTTCGGTAAAATATCAGTATAACAAACTTGCATTATTTATGCATTATCAATACATTCCAGCGCACAAGTACATTATTATCATATGGAAGTGGATTATCAGTATATCATCAGTACATTATAAGTATATAATCTGACCAGTATTAGTACAAAATCAGTACATCATCAGTATACAATCAGTATATTATCAAAACAGATAATCAGTACAATATCAATATGAAATCAGTATGGTATCAGTATGTAATAAGTATATTAAGGTTAATTATTTTAAGTACATTAACAGTATATTAGCAGTACAGTACCCGCATACTACCAGTTTATCGTCAAGACATTAACATGATATTATCAGTACATAACCAGTATATTATCAGTACATAACTAGTAAATTATCAGTTCATTACCAGTATATTATCAGCACATAACCAGTATATTATCAGTACATTACCAGTATATCATCAGTATATTATCATTATCAGTATATTCTCAGTACATTACCAGTATATCATCAGTACACTTTCAGTATATCATCAGTACATTATGAGTATACTATCAATACATTATCATTATATTATCACTACATTACTAGTATATTATCAGTAAATGTACTAGTATATTATCAGTACATACCAGTATATTATCAGTATATTACCAGTATATTATTAGTATATAACCAGTTAATTATCAGTACATTATCAGTATATTACTTGCATTTCAGTATCATTATCAGAATAATATACTTGCATTATTAATGCATTATCAACACATTCCATTACACTAGTATATTACCGTTATATTCATGTGAATTATCAGTACATAATCAGTACATTATCAGTATATAATATGAATAGTATAAGTATAAAATCAGTACATTATCAGTTTATAATCAGAACAGTATAAGTATAAAATCAGTACATTATCAGCAAATTATGAATATAAATGGGAATGAAACCAATTCAGTTCGGTATTGTCTATTATCTGTTATATCTACTTCGTTTTACCAAATGATACTGCTTGCTCTCAAAATACCACATGGTGCAACTCTCAGCTTGAAGCGCGCAAGGATAACACATCCGCGTCATATCCAAGCGAATATGTCGACAAAGTAATTTTTTCATTCAATATCAAGGTAATTCTTATGAACAATCTGAGCTTCAATTGAGCGTGATCGTATTCGGAAATTTCGTTAAACGATTTTTAATTTCGTTATTCACAATACTGTTAGGATTTACTTTGATGTCGCATTGGAAAAATAAACACACAAGTATCAATGACACGTTTGAAAAAGACATGTACACAAATATTGATGACGCATTAGAAGGCACAAGCTTTTAGGGAAAAAGGACTAGCCGGTGCGAAATCCAATCTGCTTTTTCCCCCTGACCAGTCCGTTTGAATTAGCCCTTTTTTAATTATTCATTAAATTTTAAATATCTTCATGTTTCCAATGGCTAAACTCTAGTGCCTGTGGTCAAAACCGGCATATACTAAAATATCAGGAGATGTTTATGAATGTAAATATGTTTCTTAGAAATGTGAATATTATCTTCGACACAGATGCCTATAAAACAGACTTCAACGAGATCACAGACACAAGGGAGTTTCTTAACGAGGTTTTCCGCCAGATCTACGTTTGCCAAGTATCCGGACTGCAGTTTGCCGTCGACCTCACCGACTTTAAGAGCCTTCCCGGTATGTCCATGTCATGTAATAATATTACTCGCACAGGTTTATGTTAATGTTGATTTTAAAAACAATATTAATTTATTCACTGTACCATAAAAAATATGTTTACAAATAGTTTTCTACTCTGCAATAATCTGTAGCAATTCCACAAATTTTCTAGCTCACTAAGCCAAAAGATGATTACGATCAAATTTTACAATTGTCCATTGCAGATGAAAAAGTGACGAAGCAATTGGCTGGACAGACGCTGGTTTTCCTGGAAGCCGCCGTAGTCGAGATGGCTCATCTTCTTAAATTTCAAGACAATTTTGTGGTCGGTGTTTTAAAAGGTATGTCGGATATTTTTGAATTTTAGTATTGAATATCTCAATCAAACAATTTATTAGAGCCGTAAATGAAGTGGAATCAGTCATTAAGATGCATACTTTCATCAAGAAAAATTCAAAAAGGTTTGAAACATAATATAAAAGGAAAAATATTCGTTCAAACGTCAACATTTTCAAATCTTCCCAATTTCTTAGCCCAATGTTTCCTATTGGTATATCGACTCCACAATAACTGTCGGCATATTTATACTTTTAGAAGCTTATAGAATACGGTCTAAACTGATTTTAGAAAGTAGTTTTTTTTTAATATTCTCATACACATCCGTCATACGTATACCTTTATATAATTCATGTCTGTAGTTTTTTTCATTTTATTCGCGTACAGTTAGGTCTTTTAACTGATTATAATGTTCAAACTCACTTTTCCTCGAATTTAAGGTGATTCTGCGTTAATATTTGTCATAATACTTTTCAAATGGCATTGCTTCCGTACAGTAACAGATCCATACGGGAATAATTCTGACAACTTCCCAAATTGTGAAAGGTGATTGTTGATAATTGGTTCTCATAATGTCTCCTATGAAATACATACTCATTTCTGGATTTTCTTTTATTTTGCTGTATCTTCAGACTACGGCACAAGTACTCACAACGAATTGGTACATGGTTTGATAGGACTCGGGCCAGCTCCGTCACAATCCCCATCAAACCCACCTAATGGCTCAGTTGTAAAGAAAGGAAGAGGGGAAGGTAAACCTACCTCGCCTAAGCCACGTGGAGGAAGCAGTCCATCGCCGAGTGACATTGAAGATGAGAACGATAAAGTTACAAGAGCAAGCGGGGAAGCGCCTGAGAAAAAAATAAACAAACGTGGAAGCAAAAATGCGTGGAAAAAAGGAGGGAGGAAAGGAGAGATGGAAGGTAAATTTACTTCATCTAAGCCACGTGGAGGAAGCAGTCCATCGCCGAGTGACATAGAAGATTAGAACGATGAAGTTACAAGAGCAAGTGGGGAAGCGCCTGAGGAAAAATTAAACAAACGTGGAAGCAAAAATGCGTGGAAAAAAGGAGGGAGGAAAGGAGAGATGGAAGGTAAATTTACTTCACCTAAGCCACCTCGAGGAAGCAGTCCATCGCAGAGTGACATAGAAGATGAGAACGATGAAGTTACAAGAGCAAGTGGGGAAGCGCCTGAGGAAAAATTAAACAAACGTGGAAGCAAAAATGCGTGGAAGAAAGGAGGGAGGGAGGGAGAGATGGAAGGTAAATTTACTTCACCTAAGCCACCTCGAGGAAGCAGTCCATCGAAGAGTGACATAGAAGATGAGAACGATGAAGTTACAAGAGCAAGCGGGGAAGCGCCTGAAGAAAAATTAAACAAACGTGGAAGCAAAAATGCGTGGAAAAAAGGAGGGAGGAAAGGAGAGATGGAAGGTAAATTTACTTCACCTAAGCCACCTCGAGGAAGCAGTCCATCGCAGAGTGACATAGAAGATGAGGACGATGAAGAAAGAGGTATGTTATTACGCATTTTAAATGTTCTCCGTGGTAGCAAAAATACGTGGAAGAAAGGAGGGAAGAAGGGAGAGATAGAAGGTAAATCTACTTCACCTAAGCCACCTCGAGGAACCAGTCCATCGCCGAGTGACGACGCGCCTGAGGAAAAAGTAGATAAACGTGGAAAACAAGGAAATAAAGAAGAGATGGAAGGAACCCCTTCATCACCTAAGCCACCGAGAGGAACCAATGTAGGGAAAAAGTCCTTAAAAATAGAAATCGATGGCTTTCTTGACAAAGTTAAATCACATATGAAAAGACGGTTTTGAAAAAGAAAAGGGTAAAGTACATGGATGTAGTTCACTTAAAACATAACATAAATCAGTAGCATCAGGATAAAACATGTAAAAATCTGCTTCTTTATTCCCATAAATGATGACATATTTTTTCTGAGAAAGTATTTTTCATCATAGAGAGTATTGCTTTATACAGCGGTATCTTGAAATAACGTCTTTTAATCACATCAAAATTTTGCAAGTTAATACAAATGGACTTCAATGCGTTATTTCTGTCATAACTGCAAGATAAATCTCTACATGAGTCAATAATTACAACGTGTATTGATATATTGGTCTCAATACAGATTTGAGCGTTTTGAGCCTCATTAAGATTTAAAATGATCTATATGGTTAGTTCGCTAGGTCAGGCAACTTGTTTTGGGATACGGAGCACATATTAACACTTCTCGTCAAACAGACACGAATTCAACCGATACACAGCTTAAATCTTGTATAGAGTAACTCGATACGTACATGTTGATTATGAAGCATGTAAGCATGTCTCATAGCTGCATCATGATGTTATTTGATTATGAAAAAGTATTTAATTCCATAATGACTGTTTTCCTGAGATTGAAACATTATATACCCTTTAATAGATAGATACTGTATAAATCAGGCAAGGCGGGTAACTGTATCTCTAAAAACGTAAAATTGAAAAGAAACGATTTTTGTCAGGAATAATACATACGTTTGTATCTAGCAATGTTGCAGATGACCTCCCAATGCCTCTTCCCTATTTTTCCTAATTCAGTTGTTCGCTTCCTGACCCTATCAGCCTATTTCGTTCTGCTCCTACCAGGTCTACTCCTATAACATAAGAGGCCGCTGGTCGGCCTTTTTTCTATCGGATATGATTTTGCCGACTGCGACCTCTTATTTCCGAAGCACTAATTCTTTGATGCATATTCCGCCCGAAATCCGAGCGGAACAAAATCGGCTTGAATTTTTTTTATGTCTTGGACACGAACATCTTCTTACTTAATCATAGATTTATGGAAAGGAATATTTATTACACCCTATTGAACATTTAAATGTATGGATACACGCTATACTTTTTCTAAATCTGAACTTTGAAAATTTGATCGTCAGCGTCGGGAAAATCAGCTATGGACAGTTAGAGGTTACGCGGCGCCTGTTAAAAGTTTCTCGCCGTGTAAAACATTGTTGGAGATTACTACCAGGTCCAGCAACCCCTAAATCATCCACAGTAATAGATTAGCCCCAACCTCGCTATCAGCAGTCGTCCACCAGTTGCCTGTACCTCTTCCTTATAATGTGCCTCCTCTATCATGGCCTCTCTTGCTACCGTTATTTCTACCATCAGGATTTGCTTGCAGTTCCGGGCCACAGTGGCAGGAGCCTCCTCTGTTGGGAAACCCATATTGTGGTGAATATATGCCCTAATACCCCATTCTCATGTTGTTGCAAGTATCCTATCCCCCTCAGAGATAGACTTTCCTTTAGTTTATGCCTTCAAGAATTTTGCAAACACTTTAGTACATGAGCAAGAGCACCGCGAGCAGAAGCATGATACGCCCGTCAGACCCTCGGAAGGGTATTGATATATTCGAAGCAGGTAGTGACATATGATATAAATGTGTTTAATGCCTTTATTTTGTTGGTGACTTTGACCTTGCCATTCAATAAAAAAAAATCTTGCATTTTCGACAAAATTCCCTTATTTGGCAAAGAAAAAGGGACATAACTCTGCCTAATAGCATTTAAAATGTCACGATTTAGGAACTCATTCAAAGCATTCAGATAATGAAACATCTAAGTAGTTTAATAAAAATCAGAGAACAATTGTTTGAGTTATCTTGTAACCAAGCAAAAGTTAACTGCAATAATGAAATACAGTGTTGCTATGTCAAGTGTGATATGCCAAAACGCGGAAAGTTGAAACTCGACAGAAATACCTGTAATATATGTTAGACATTATTGCTTCTAGCATGACCATTCTAAATTTGAAAGGAATTAATAAAAAAGGAATTAATAAAAAGTAAAACAAGAGTCCAATTGGCCTGCATCGCTCACCTGGTATAAATCTCACACGCATAACCTAAAAAACGATCTAAAATAAAGCTACAGGCAAAATATCCGTATTTATGACAATAAGTCATTCAAAAGAACCTGTTAAAAGATTTAAAAACATTGCGCCCCTGTGACCTTGAAAGTGGAACAGGTCATTACGTTGAACAAATTTTAAAGCCCTTTATCTCAATATGCAACTTTGAGAAAGATCTCTCCAATACTTATTGAGAAACATCAATAACAAACATTCACTTTCAAAATCGAAGATGACTGCCTGTCGGCCATTTTGTTTATCCGATCAGTCAAAAAATTTAACATGCACAACTTCAGAACAAAGGGGAACCTACATGTATAATTTAAGATGGACCTCCCCAGTCCTTCCTAAGAAATAGTGATAACAATCCTTCACTATCAAAATTCAAGATGGCTGTCTGTCGGCCAAGCTAATTATCCGATCAGTCTCAAAAGTTGCCCTGCACAACTAGGGACCAATGGAAACCTACATATAAAGTTGAGAAAGAGTCCTCTGGTACTGCATGAGCAATAGCGATAACAAACATACACTATCAAAATCCAAGATGGCTGCCTATCGGCCATTTTGTTTATCCGATCAATCTTAAAAGTTGCACTGCACAACTAAGGACCAAGGGGAACCTACATATAAAATTTGAGAATGATCCCTCTGGTACTCCTTGAGAAATAGCGGTAACAAGAATTGTTTAAGGGCGGACGACGACGGACGCAGGGTGATTTGAATAGCCCACCATCAGATGATGGAGGGCTAAAACTAATGACGACGGACGTCGCACCATAGCATAAGCTCACTTGGCCAGGTGAGCTTAAATTTTCTTGCATTTACTACATAATGCCCTTATTTGGCAATGAAAGGAGAATAGCGCCCAGCAATGAAAATGGGACAAAACTCTGCTGAGTAGCATTTAAATATCACGATTTAAGAACACATCAAATGCATTCAAGTAATGAAACATCCTACCAAGTTTGAAAAACAAGCCATTCGGATTGATATGTCTCGCCCATGCCCCGCTTTGACCAGCAATGCACATATCAAAGAAACTAACTTAAATGCAAAAACTTCATGTTGATAGAGATGCTGACATAGTCAATGGACCATAAAAGGTTGACTGAGATGTACTACCTATGATGCATATATGGTCCAAGTTTGGTTGGTGTAGCACTTATACTTTCAGAGAAACTAACTTAAACGCAAAACTTAAAGTTGATGGAGATGCTGACAAAGCCAATGGACCATAAAAGGAAGACAGCATCCAGCTTTTGATGAATGGGCAGAGTTGTACTACCTAAGATGCATCAATGGTCCAAGTTTGGTTGGTGTAGCACTTATACTTTCAGAAAACCAACTTAAACACAAAAACTTAATGTTGACGCCACCGAACATTATTGCTTCTAGCGTTATCGTACAAGATTTGAAAGGAATTTATTGAAAAAATAACAAAAATCTTGCATTTACTACACAGTGCCCTTGTTTGGCAATAAAAGGAGCATAACTCCACCAAAAATGCACGTAAACTTCTTCTGAAATGCGAACTCGTTCGAGCTATATAGGTATGCTATATGTGAACCAAGTTTCATCAAGATAATATTATGTTCATGAATGAAGGCAGGAGAGCAATGACAAGGAAAAGTTAATGGACGGACGGACAACGGACATCGGACAACGCAGCCCATAAAATAATACGAATCGTCGGATGACGGGCGGATAAAAAGTCAATGTCCCATTGATAAAGCTAAAGATACGAACGTGAAATAAATTCCAGGGGCCATTGATTTAGCTAATGATACAAGGGGGGAATACCCCATGGCCCATTTATTTAGATGATGAAAACAACCATGGCCCATTGATTGAAATAATGATACGAGCACATAAAAACATGGCCCCTTTAGCTTCTGAAGCAGGTTGCAACTTGATTCAGGTACAGAAAGTAACTTGTAAATTGTTTCCGAATCAATGGTAGTTATGCTTATATACATGAGTCCTGTTTCGTGAATAATTTTGGTCTAGATAAGCATTCTTTTCCGCTTTGTATAACTAAAAGTAAATGAACCTTCCGGTGATATTATGGTGAAAATAACATATGAATCCATCACTCTTGATTAGATGAGATACATACAATACATTTCCTTAAACCAGATACGTTTTATGAAGAAATGCAAAAAATAGCTTCGTAAACAAATCACTTGGTCACGCGGCGTCTCCATGGATAAATAATCATCAAATCCCGGACAGCGCTGAAGAAAATTAATCAAACTACATCGCGGTTTGACTTAAATATCTCTGTGCAGTCCGGTTTGTAGCAATACCCTTTGCCCAAAGATTCTCTAGAACAAGTTTGGTTAAAATCCCTTGAACGGTACAGAAGGAGAGGATCTTTAATATTTTCCTCTATTTCCCCTTATGGGCCCCACTCATCTGCCCCACAGAAGGGGGTTCACACACCTCAGTTTGAACAAAATTGATTCTTTTGTCCGTAAGTATGCTTCAGACTGCATTTGGTTTAAATCCCTTCACTTGCATAGTAAGAGAGGAAAAATCCTCTATATCCCCTATTGGGCCACGCCCCTATGCCTCCAGAGGGGCCACACCCTCCGTGTATACAAACTTGAGGCTCCTTTGCCCAAAGATGCGCTAGAACAAATTTGGTCAAAATCCTTCTATTGGTTGATAAGAAGAAGATTTTTTTTAAGATTTACCTATTTTCCCCCTATTTGGCCCCGCCCCTATGCCCCCAGGGGGACCATACCCTCCGTTTATATAAAACTGAGAACCCTTTGGCCATGATGCTCTAGATCATATTTGGTCAAAATCCCTTCATCGGTACAAAAGAAGGATCATTGATGTTTTCCTCTATTTCCCCTAAAGGGCCCCACCCATCTGCCCCAAAGAAGGGGGCCCACACACCTCAGTTTATACAGAATTGATACTCTTGTCCCTAATCATGCTTCAGACTGCATTTGGTTTAAATCCCTTCACTTGTATAGTAGGAGAAAAAAAATCCTCTATTTCCATGTCACA